CTACGAGATGTAATTCGGTTTCAGTCATAGCTATGTCAAATCTTCATTAAATCTCTTCAAAATTGGTAGAATGACGGGTATTTACATGCTTTACTATTTCATATAACCCGTTTATTTTTCAGAGTAATAATAGTCAAGATACAAATGGTTTATATTGGTATAATAAATTATACGCAAAAAAACCGGTCTGGATCGGTCTGAACCGGCTCCATAGACCGAAATAGACCGGTCCTAGGTGGTTCGGTTCGGTTCCCTCAATATCTGGGTCGGTCCTAGACCGGTTGCGGTCCACGGTTGCGCGTTTTGGGGGCAAAAAACCGGACTGAACTGAACTTGCGAACACTACTTATAAGCATGCATTATTTACTGAATTTGAGTTTGATCAGCAAATTATACAAGTAGTTAGGTAAAGGCAGGGACGTACCGCCACAAAAACGACTGGCCATATGTCTGCGCATCCAAAATTTGCTTCAATGACCCTCCAGAATAGTCAACCTTTAATTACTAAGGGGGCATGGCGAAGGAAGGGGTGACTGAGCGGAACTCGACCAAGATCGCTGGCGATTTGCAGACTCCAACCGTCGCTAATCTCGTGGGCCTTGACACGAGCATCACTCAGAGCTTTCTTGCAAGACTCAATGGTGCGTTGAACAAGAGGTCCAATGAGAGCTTTGAATTGAGAACGATTCAGCTTCTTATTGATGTGCATTGGACCCGAGGCGTCAGCTGTGATGAAAGGAAGATTGATTTCGGTTTGCATGGTCGACGACAATTCAATCTTGGCCTTCTCGGCGGCTTCACGAACACGTTGGATTGCCATTCAGTCATTCTTGAGATCAATGCCCAATTCCGATTTGAACTCTTTGAGAAATGGGATGCCAATTCCACTTGAGGGAGGTTGCACATGTGTAAACATGTGTCTACGAAAACGAATTTATGCACGTGAGTAAAAAGCACCAGAACTAATGCACAAGAGGGGGTATGTACCAACAGAGCGCACTAAGCTGGGCGCCCTTGAAGCAGAAAAACATGCTAGAAGCCAAAAAAAAGCACGCTTGAAGCCAAAAAGCACTTTATTAAAACACAAAAAGGGCGTGAATGATGATATAACACATACGTGATGAAGACGCAATTCCAGGCGCCCTGGGGTCGAAATGGGTGCGCTTCGTTCAATGTAGAATGGACTTGCGCCGCCGGTGAACCGACTACAGTCTGGTAAGATCTGAAGAAAAAGACCGGCTAAAGTCAGATCAAATAAACTAGCTAGCGACCTATAGTCTGCGGGTAGTAGTAAACGTCACAGTGGTAGTGTTCGCGTCAACAAGGCATCCAGTACTCCAGTAGATCAGGAGTGATCGAGGTCTGATCTAATCAGCCGACTATAGTCTGGCTGTATGGCGCAGAGAACG